TGCGCCCACTGCGGGCTCCGTGCAAGCAACACCACTGCCGGCCTCCCGCCGCGGCCCGTGCAGCTCCGTCCCCATCAGCCGTAGTGGTACACGAAGTCGTAGCTGCTCGGCTCCTTGGGGATGGGTGGCGGCGCTTCAGGGATCTGGATGTTCTCCAAGTCCAGGAGTCTCAGCTTCATTTCCATGCTCAGCAATGTGTCCAGGTCACTTTTAGTCAGCTCACTGGACATGTCCTTCCCCAAGAGAGCATTAAGCCCATCAATCCAGATACAGTACTGTGAAAAAAAAGAAAAGGATAATTCACAACTCCAGGCATAAATAATTGATAGGTTATGTTGAATCTTTCCATTCATGCAACAATTGGAGATGCTCCTATGCAGCTCCAAAATAGGAAACATAGGAGGGAGTTAACCTATGGGGGGGGGGGGAAAAACCCAACCCCAAAACAGCTCACAGAGATTTCCAATGGAAGTAAGAAGCCTAGGAGTAAGCATTACCAGATGGCTCTAGGAGAGGGCCAAGAGTTTCTGTTGTGGCAGAACAACAGAAAAAGCAAAGCTATTTTAGGCATCAGTGTCTTATAGAATGGGGAAAAGTAAACAACTGACTGCATAGGAGGAAAGAAAGCAGCAGTCCAGACTAAGGGAATTAGTGTAGGGTTTTTGTTTTTTTTTTTTTAAAAAAGAGAAAAATAACTGTGGGGCGGGGGGGGGGGCAGGAAGAAGATTCACACTAAGCATCAGCAAGATTTTCTAAGAATGAACCTGGTGGGAGACATCCTACTCAAGCCTTTAATGAGAAGCAACTGATTCTTCTTAATCCCTGAAGTTAATTGCTTTATATTCTACTGCTTAACTGGTATGTTTCTTACCTCATATTTATTAGGTGCAATGAAGTTCAAGGTCTCATCAGGATCGTATAATATCGAGAAGGCCAATTCTAACACTTCCTGAATGGAAAAGAATCTTTCACTCATTGACTGAGCAAAACATCACAGCACCTTCTGCCTGCTAACCCAACAAGAGAAGCTGCCTTGCTGCAGCTCAGTGCACTTTCCCATATCAGTATTCTGAGCAACTCTGAATAGTCTATAGCACAACCAGGCTATGTTCACAGCACCTAGCAATCACAAATGAGTACTAGGAAAAGGCCCAGATATGAGATGGGTTTTGTAAACAATACACCTGCAGCATGGAAGACCATTTGCTCCTGTTGTCTGCTTGTTGAAGACAAAGAGAGTCTTCAACTCTACAGCACTGGATATTAATTACAGGCAAAAAGGGAGCACTTACCTTGTTCTGTTTCAGTGCACTTTTCTCCTTCATGTGTGGACAATCCTTCCCTGTGACAATGGCTTTGATGTCTGCAACTGGAACTAACAGTGAAAAAGTAAAACTCACAAACAAGAAGTCCTAACCATGAAAAGACAGAACTCTGTTTTGTCTTTGCAACTGAGCATTGTTCCTGTTGTTGTAGCTCATTACTGCAGTTTCCCAAAGCACATTACCAGTAGCACATCCCTACAGTTGGCTGTTACAAGAAATACCAAGCAATTCCAAGACTCAAAGGATTTGGGCAAAAGTGGATCTCGTCTCAGTCAGGGCTTCAGCCACAGCTTTTTTTCTCTCATCTCTAGGATGGTACTCATCACAGCCTCTAGATGGCAGAGCACAGAACATTGCAGAGTGTGCTCAGAGCAGTAATCAGGACTTACTTTTTTCCTGTAGAGATTCAAAGGTCACTTCCCCCTGGGCATTATCTTCCAGATCTCCATAGTGTAGCACTTTGTGATTCAGAGCCAGGCGACAATACCAAAATCTTTCTGGAACACACATCAAGTAGAGTAAGCTGAGCAAGACCATTCACATAAGGTCTTACAGCCACTACATTATAGTTACCCCACACAATCCCTCTACTCCCCCAATTCTTCAGCACTGCTTCCTGTTCATGAGGGGATGGCAGTATTTTAAGAAATGCACATCTGTTCCATCCCAAACTACTGGCTGGTATAGACAGTGCAGGTAATCAGCTTTCCTTTCTGGCAACATGCCTGTGGACAGATGAATCCATTAGATCTTATTTGCCTACAGTTCTTCACGTGAAAAAATGCAGCAGACACTGTCACCTTACCTTGTCTTCTGCGATTTCCAATTTTTCGAAAGCTACTTCCCTCACAAAGCCTGTTCAGGCGCTGTTGCTTTATCAGCTCCAAGATCTCAGGTTGGATTTTCTCTCTCAGCTCCCTGGCAATCAAATATTGAAGAGTAAGCAGAAAATGGAGATAACAGCAAGCACAAAAGGCAACTGGTTTTGTTAGGCACTTACACAATAGGCGGTGACTGGAAGTCATCTTGGCTCATTCTCTCAGACTGGCGTAGTCGCAGAATCTCAGAATAGCTCAGGCTGCGCAGTTTGCTCTTGAACTGGTCCAAGGAGTTTGGTTTAGAGGGGAGAGCCCGTGTGATCTGTTCCCTCACAACCTGCATAACCTGAAGAGGTTGGGCAGGGAGAAAAGCAAGTCACGTTCTTGCTTAATGGCAGCAGAGAACCAGGGCACAGCTCAGTGGCAGCAAAGAACTGACATAGAATGACCAGGGCCAGGAGTGGCAACATGCTAGTGACTTTGAAGATCCAGAAGACCAAAGAATGACCTCAGGTCATACCAAATAAAAGTTGGACCATGCTCCCTTACAGCCCACATCAATGCCCTGTCATACTTTGTGCGCCCTACTCTTTAACCAAGGGCACAGGCTGAGTGAACACATGCTGTTCCACAAAAGATTCTACAAAAATACCTCTTCTCCACTCTGACCTTATTAAAATCTTCTGCTGTTGCCCTCATTTCTTTCCAGGTCTTGTTCAACAGCTGGATGCAGATGGCAAATAGCTCCTCAAATGCACGGTCATGGGTGAAAAACATGGGGTGATAGTCATTCCGGCCTTCATTGGCTTCAGGAAGAAACAAACCACAACCACGTGAGCATACTGCACAAGACCTACTAAGAGTAACTAAAATCCACTACAGTGACAGA